AAGTTACGCTATAGAACATAGCTCCACTTAACACACAGCACTTAGATTGGTTTACAGAGAAAGCAAGTACAAGTTTATTTAACAAAGAACAGAGATTCAAATGGTTGCAAAGAGAAACATTGGAAACAAAGGTTTATCTATAAAATAAGATAGCAACTCGCTTAACCCGAACTTAACTACCAAGACAATTATGTCATAAGAGCAAAACCTCACTCAAAATCCCTCCAGCATATTACAGCCAGCTGAGATCTTTCATTCATGAAGCAAGTCCATGGTCAGTTTACTTCATACGTGAAAGATATTTTGTCTCTCTTGGCATTCTCCTGACATACCAAACTAATTCTTTAACCTTAGATATAAACCAGACACCATCTTGCTGTCCACTCCTTCCTGTAGATTTTGTGATCTCTTCCTGACTTTGCAAAGTTGGTAATGCCATATGCAAATAGACTTCCATTGTAAGACACACACAATGGTCAGCTAAGAAGGTAAGTGTCTCCTATCCCTTGTCTGAACAGAACCTGTTTATCACTTTCTGGTGACCTGGCTTACATACCTTTAAGAACTCAGTTTTGGGGATACATATGTAGGCACCCTTTACTAGATCAGCCTCTGAACTTAATTGGGAGTGGTCCAGTTGGGAAGATCCTGAGTGCTGCAATCCAGCCTTGGAGATTACACCTCCCATGATGCCTTGGGAAAGAGGCAGAGAGACTTCTAGGGATCAATGCAGGGAGAACATGGGGTGGGCTCCATTTTGGAGAGGAGCTGAGCTTGCTTTATGGAGCTCTGTCCAAACCAGGAGCTGCTGCTAAACTGGTGCTAGAAAGCCAGAAGCTGCTGCTGAGGGTCTGCTGGGGCTTTGATCAAGCAGGAATCTTCCCTGGAGCTACTGAAAATAGCCAAGTCAGTTACAAATGCTCTAGCAAGTGTTTGTAACCCATTTAACACCTTGTGACCCAGTTCAGTGATCTCATGAGTTGGTAAGTGTGTCAACTCTGGTTTGCTGGAAAACATCTGATTGTAACTTTGCAGCACTGATAATATTTTTCCCTTTTAACTGGTGATAACTTGATGTAGATCTCAATGTTTTCCAGAGTGTAATTATCTTGGCATTCAGCCATGAAAGCAGTGAGGTGGCATTCCTCAGTTTCCCCTTCCACACAGCAGACCAGGTTTATTATGGGGCTACTATAAGGGCTACTATAAGGTGGGTGCATAACTGGCTGGATAAACATCTTCAGAGAGTAGTTATTAACTGTTCACAATCATGCTGGAAGGGCATAGCAAGTGGGGTTCTGCAGGGGTCTGTTTTGGGACTGGTTCTGGTCAATATCTTAATCAATGAATTAGATAGAGAGTACGATTATTAAGTTTGCAGATAATACCAAGCTGGGAGAGGTTGCAAGTGCTTTGGAGAATAGGGTCATAATTCAAAATGATCTGGACAAACTAGAGAAATGGTCTGAGTTAAATAGGATGAAGTTTAATAAGGGCAAATGCAAAGTGCTCCACTTAGGAAGGAACAATCAGTTTCACACATACAGAATGGGTAGTGATTGTCTAGGAAGGAGTACTGCATAAAGGAATCTAAATATGAGTCAACAGTGTGACACTGTTGCAAAAAAAGCAAACATGGTTCTGGGATGCATTAGCAGGAGTGTTGTGAGCAAGACATGAGAGGTCATTCTACCGCTCTACTCTGCATTGATTAGGCCTCAATTGGAGTATTGTGTCCAGTTCTGGATACCACATTTCAAGAAAGATGTGGAAAATTGGAGAAGGTCCAGAAAAGAGCAAAAAAAAAAAAAAAAAAAAGATAAAAGGCCTAG